CCATCGACAGGGCCAGGGCTGGACACCCTAAAACCTACTTAAATACCGACGGGGGCGAACACCCTCAATTTGCTTAAACTCTCGCGGGGGCGAACACCCTCAATTTACTTAAACCCAAAAACCCCTACTCGTTAGGGCTTTCGTCTTCGGCCAAAGCTTTGCGGGATTTACTCCTTAGGGTTTTCGTCTTCGGCTGGGCTTCTGTTTAGGGTTCTCGTCTTTGGTTTAAGGTTCGTGCTGGGCTTACTCCTCCGAGTTTTCGCCTTTGCCCCTCTGTTCGTGCTGGGTCAGCGGCAAGGTAAAGCCCATGCATCAAACAAAAAACCTAAACCTTTAAACCCCAGTGCGAAGTGCTAGGGCAGCATCAGGTGGCTCATGCAATCAATTGAGACAGCTTTTGCCAAATCCTCTCCATCAAAGGCGGCCAATTTTTCCTTGGCTGCGGCTAGCATTCAACCCATCTCAAGCCTGGCAAACTATTGCCTTCAGCAACTGTTCAGTTGGTGTACGACTTGATTAGATTGTTCACTTTCAAGTACCATAAGCGATCTGAGCGGAACACCTCAAAATCCTGCAGCTCGGCTTCGGATGCTTGCAGACTCTCTAAGAAGCATGTTTGAACGAAGTCGCAAGAAGAGCTCACTAAGTCGTTTGACTTTCAAAGCTTGCTGAAAGTGCTGTGCGAAGCAATGCGTGCTGTGAGAGGACGGTGGTCGAGCTCGCAGGCGCAAAGCCGCCCAACTGGTGTGGGTGTTGGCCGCCGCGCTCGAAGAAGACCTAGCTAGGAGCCCTGCGGCCCTTCTCGGCCGCTCTCTCAGAACCTGTCACCCGAGGGAAGCGGCAAAGACAGAAACGCCAGAAGGGGGAGTCGAAAGTTGGTGAAAGGGCCTCTCTGCGTTCGCAGTCTTCGAGTCTCGGGGAGCTGCTCCCTGAGCTCCCTGCAGGGCTGCAGGCTGCAGGCTCCCGCATGGTCTCAGAGCTTTTCCGAGCTCCCAACCGCCCTCTGTCCTGGCCTGCGCACTGCACACTGCACAGCACTCTCACCGCCTTCTTGGGCACTTCAAAGCCAAGTGACTTCTTGAGGCCAGCAGACCACGCACCAACAGGCCTCGGTCCAAACCGTGCGCATCGCAAGACGGCACAGTCAGCTTCTCTCCGAGGCCCCGAGGCTGCCGCGCATCGCTGTAGGAAGAGGGGTCCATAGGATCGATGTCCTCAGCTATACTCGAAGGGTCCAGCAGGAGCTCCCCTTTCCCAGTCTCCAAGTCTCCCAGTCCTTCTTCTTGGTCTTCACCCCTGTCATCTCCTGCAGATTATGCGATGAGCGCCACCGAACAGCGCTGAGCACGAGAGTGGCGGGCGGAGCCGCGGCAAAAGCTCGCGCCTCGAGGCTTGGCAGCTTCGCCTCGACGCCCAAGTCCGCCAAGGCCTCAGCGGAAAGCCCTCTGCCCCGCTAAGCTCGATCCAGCCTTGGCTCCCAGCCCGCTCCACGTTCCGACCGTAGCCTCTAGCGGCTGCAGCGAAACAAAAACCCGAGCCGGCTACCCGATCCGAGGCCCGTGCCCAACATGATCTCGATGCAACGCTTGCCTCCGTTTGCCTGCCAGTCGCAGAGCTACCGCTAGGGCTTCCGAACGCTTCTCGCTTCGCGCTGGCCTTCATCGCCGTGTCCGCCGTCACGGTCAAAGTGCAGAACTCGGCCAAACGGAGAGGCCCAACCAACCCAAGGGCTCACGACGGGCGCTCACGCCGGCTCCCCTCTCCCCCTGCCTGGTCGTCCTTCAACTTGGTGCTTCCGTCACCTTCTCTTCTCGCTCTCTTCTTTGAGCGTAAAGAGATAAAGGCATCAGATGATCATACCTTCAGACCTTCATGCCTCCTACTTGGAGTTTCCGGGTTCCTGCCTATGCCGCGACCAATTTTGTTGCCGTCGGCATCACGCATCTTCCCTGGTTCTTGCAACTGTTGTTCGATCAGCTGGTCAGGTGCCATGCACTCATGGCCTTTCTTGCCCTTGCCTTTCCCATCTTTAGCATCCTTTCCTTTGCCGTCCTGACAACCGGATGTCAAAAAACGCCAACAAACACAGTCTGGAAACAGATGATGCTTAGCACGAGTGTGAAGTACCTAGTAGATGCGCTTCAGATGACAGAAGCCCACATCGAGAAACTTTACCAAGTACGTGATGACATGCAGTGCAGGTTGTTGATGTTGCTAAGTTCGTGTGCATAGGACAGCCCTTTCCTTCAGCAAGGCGATGGTTTTTAAGTTCCGATTGTGAAATTCGACATTGGAGGTTCGTTGTGACATGGAGTATTCTATATTATATATTATATATTATGTAATATATATTATATATTATATATTATATATTATATATTATATATTATATATTATATATTATATATTATATATTATATATTATATATTATATATTATATATAAATTATAAATTATAAATTATATATTATATATTATATATTATATATTATATATTATATACTATATACTATATATTAT